AGCAGCTGTCTAGGGCTTTAGAGGAGTAGTCCTACAGGCTACAGGGTTTCTATTTGGGGTGATGAAATTGTTCTTTAACAAAGTATGTGGTGATAGTTGGGCAAGTCTGAATACACTAAATGCGACTGATATTGTTGTTTTTACCCCAAAACCCCATCAAAATACAATAAGGCATTCTGACCATCCACCAAGGCCAAGTGGATCACAGAGACCCCATTACTCCAGTTCTTGCCTCCAGGTAAATGGGAGCAGATTTTCCCAGAAGCAGGTGATGCTCTGATCCAGTACCCTTACCTGCTGGCCCCTTTAGAGCACCAGTGTGCCCTCTGTATTTTTGGAAAGTGGTTATTTTTGTTACGGTGAGTCACTGGACTTGGTGAGCTGACAGTGCCCTGGCCCCTCCCCAGGACCCTGGAGAGCACCAGCTACTTTACTCCACCACAAAGCCATCCTTGAAAACAGGTAAATGAATGTCCAAGCCATGAAGACAAGCTTTCAGCCAAACACAGGCCAAGAGCTTGGAAGCCAAAGGCCTGTGGTGCACAGGACTGAACAAGTCATGGTCCCCACAGCTCTGCATTTTACTCTGTTCAGAGAAACTAAACTTTAGATACAGTCCCACAAGCCTCTGGAGAGACAGATGGGGCGGGGCTTCTCGATGACTACAGGTTATTGCTGTGTGCCGTGGAGTCAGAACTGACTGACAGCGTTGGGGTGGTCAGAGGATGCACATCCCACAGGAGGAAACTGCACTTCTTTTTCCCAAGGGGCAGCTGGTAAACTCAAACTCTGTGCCTATGAGCTGACAGTGCGACGCCTTACCACTAGGTCACCACAGTTCCCCCAACTATTCAGATGTCTGTTTAGATTAAGTAAACAGAAGAATGGGTTCTCTATTAGGAGACCAATCCAAGAGCTCTTTCCTTGATATTAAACACCCACAGGATCCAGAAAGGGTGTGTGTTAGCTTTCTTTCTAACAATGAGAAAGGGATTTTCTCCTGAAAATGCAAGAGCCTGGAAATCCATCCCAGTAACGTTAAATTTCCAGGTACTGTCTTGTCTCCCTCATTTTCTCTTAATTGCTATCCACGCCCATGAAGAAAAAATGAAGGAAGGAAAAACAAAATAAAAGCCCACTTTTGACTCCAGGTGTCAGGTCCCAGTGATAAATAACCACTTTCTAGTGAGACGTTAATTACAGGCCATTCTGGCTGAGGCCCCCGGGGCCCTCCTCTCTGCCCTGGAGGAACCAGTCACCAGTCAGGAGTCCCACAGGAACCTGCACAGTGGTCTCAGGGTCCAAGGTATGTGGCCCAAAATACAAGTGGGCAGCAGCTTCATGTCCACACCTACCTGGGCGACTTTTTTTTTTAGTATGAAATGGCTAATACAGAGAGTGTTCTAGATGGATTAAAGTAAAAAAAAAGTGTGTAATTACAAAGGCCAGGCTGATTTTAAAGCACACCACTTAACCTATGCCAACCACACAGCGTGCAGTGAGTGACATGCTGACAGTGGGCCTTCCTGCTACACCGAGACCCCAGGGCGGTGGGGGCTCTGTCCTCCCTGTGTGTAGGGCAGCACGTGGCACCAGCAAACAGCTCAGAAAAGGATCTGCTACATTTTCTCAAAGCGCCAGGCAAATGATACTCAAGAATAGCCTCTCCTGCTAGATGACGGACTATTAATTATAGGAGACACAGAGTGCAGATTCAACTGCCACTAAATCAAAACTGAAGCACAGCTGACCCTCCAGCAGGTTTTCTGAGGCTGTACCTTGTTACACAGGAGCCACTGCTGGACCTGAACATTCTAATCAGTGGAACTCCCTACAGACGAGGCTGCCAGAGCTCCCCAGGTTCCCACAGAGACAGAAATCACCTTGGGAGAGTTAACAGTGACGAGAAGGGAGAGGAAGTGAAAATTAATATATAGACTGGTAAGCTGGTGAAGAGAAAGGCAATATACAGTGAAGGTTCAATTGGATATTGTAATTAATTATATAGTTGTTATTGATTGCCTTTGAGTTGAGCATGACTCATAGCGACCCTATGAACAGAAGGCCTGAAGCCCTTCTAAAACTATTAACATTTATCAATGTTCATAGAGTTTCCGGAGCCATGTTGTTTAGGAAGTGGATTATATTAGTAAATTATAATTCGAGTTATAAAACAAAAGCACTATTGGATGACTGAATGAAAACCTAATGTGAAGGGAGCTCTGGTGGCCTAGTGGCAAGAAGCTGCATTGCAATCCTAAAGGTACTTGGTTTGAATCCACCAGATGGTCTGCTGGAGAAAGAGGGGCAATCTCCTCTTTTGTGAATCAAATCAAATTTGACGGTATACAACAAGGAAAAAACAAAACAACAAAAACCCCAAACAGAAACCTAAAGTGAACTGTAAATTTTTACTCCAGTAAAATAATTTCACCACCACCACCCCCCACCCCGCCAAATGAGCTAAAATTTTTTTTTCTTTTCTTCTCCCTGCCTCTTTTTAAACAGTCCCTCTGTAAGGACTATCCACTTAGCTTTGTATCCAAAGATGAAATTTGTAGGTGAAAGGAGTTAGCCTTCGTTACAGACTGGTTAATTTCAGGGTCGAAAATAGGGAACGCTTCACGAATTTGCGTGTCATCCTTGCGCAGGGGCCATGCTAATCTTCTCTGTATCGTTCCAATTTTAGTATATGTGCTGCCGAAGCGAGCACATGAGCTAAATTTTTAAAGTAAAATGTTTCATTGTTTTGTGTGTGTGTGCGCGTGTCATTCTCTCTCTCTCTCATATGTTGTTGGCACCTTAGTGCTCACAATAAAATCATATAAAGACAAACACTTGGGTAGGGCTCCAGTCTGACCCCAGGCAGGCCAATAATCGGCCAAGTTATCACCAGACAGAACCCACAAGCCCCAATGACAATAAAAACACATTGTAGCCACTGATTTACTGGTTGCCTACACATCTGAGACTCCATGGCACATAACAACAACAACACATCTGAGAAGTGCTTATAAAAAAGAAGCCCTTTTGTGTCCTTCCCAGAGGCGGGCGGTTCTGCCCTCGCGGCTGAGGATCAGGGTGCAGAGCCCTCGGTGGCGTGGCAGACAGAGCCTGGGCAGGGTGTCTCTCCATCTCCACCTCCTATCTGTCAACACGCGGGGCTGACGCGGCCGCCCAAGCCACCATTTCCTGCCAACTCACATAATAATTACAGGACCGAACACCACAAAGGCCCCCACGACCTTTCAGTCGCTCCTTCCCTGACACTAAAAAAGGATTCTGGTCACTTACTAGATGTTAATTATGTCCAGCCTCTGGGGAAGGCATGCTGACTTCGCCATGGCTTGTTAGTTTTTAATGACACAATCTAACAGATCATAATTACATAATGGAGCAGATCGAAAGAGCTCTGGTGGCATCGAATGAAGCCATTGAAGGCACCTCTCTGGTGTTTCAAACCCACCGGTGGTTCGAATCCACCAGGGCGGTCTCTCAGGAGAAAAACGGGCCATTTTCTCCCGAGCAATTCACAGCCTCTGAAAACCTACTGGCCAGTCTTTTGTGAGCTGGTTGCGATCTGACAGCAATGAGGAGAGGTTTTTGTTTTCTTTTGTTTTTGAACAGATCATAGGTTAGAAAGAAAAATAACTTGACATGGCTTTTTGCACTCTTTTCTAGGAGTTGGGAGTAAGAATGGGAAAGTAAGGAGGAAGGGAAATTTGAAATCCCAGACCTTGGGAAATCAATTCTGTGTTAACAGCACATAAGAGCGATTTCCAAGTCTTCTCCCCAAGCTCAGAAGAGGGTTTGTGCTGAAGGAAGTCAGCAAGTGTCTGAGTTTGGCTTGGGCCTCTCTGGGATCAGCTACTTGCCAAATGTTCAGTGAGGTGTGAGGCTAGAGGCGGATCCCCATGGCGGAGGGCCAGGATTTGGGTGCCCCTGTGATGTAGACCATAAAGTGCTGCACTGGTAGCTAAAACACCCCATCTCTGGAGTTCGAATCCATCAGTCTCTTCTTAAGATTTACAGCTGTGGCCACCTGATGGAGGGTTGTTACGGGTCAGAACTGACCTGAGAGCAGTTGAACTGGCTAGTTCTTAGCGACTTCTGCAACAGAAGAGCATGGAACAGAGCAAGGAGCCTTGTATGTCACTCGGGGGTGGGGCCCACCTGGTGCCCCATGGTTTGCAGGCTGGGATGTGGAGAGGCAGCCTTAGCAACTGGGCCTGGGTGCCCACCCTGAGTGGAGCGGGTCTGACCACCTGGTTGCCCCTTCAGGCCAGCTTTGTCTTCTGCCCACAGCCAGAGTTCAGCCCGCCTCCAGCAAGCCCACAGGCCCTCACAGCCTCCCCTAGTGTCAAGAAAAGTGACAGCCCAGGGCTGTGGGAAACAGCGGTCAGCCAGAAAAGTTGAAACCAAAATTACCAAGAGGAAAAACAGGAAGAGTCCAAATAATGAAAACAGCCAGAGAAAGTTTTGCATTTAACACCCACAGTGTCCTACTTTTACTTTCCCAGGAGAGGATTCTGTCATCCAGAACCTGGGTGCCAACCTTCTGCTAGAGCACAGGGCTGCAGCAGCCTAAGGGCCCCTGAGGCAGAGATAGAGCTGAATTCTGCTGGGCCCTGGAGCCTGTGGGTGGCCTGTGTATGTATGACTCAGAGGAGAGGGTCCCTTGGGGTCTGTGGGTGGGCCATGCATCCATGTCCTCAGAGGAGAAGATCTTGGGGTCAGTGGATGGGTTGTACACCAATGTCCTCAGAAGAAAGGGTCCCTGGGTCTGTGGTGGGCCGTGCATGCATGTTCTCAGAGGAGAGGGTCCCTGACACAGCCACTGCCCCTCTGAATGGTGTTCCTAGGCCACAAAGTCCTGGGTTTGGGTCCTGGTCCGTTCCTGAGCAGCCCACAGAGTATTGCAGACTCTGAGCAGACGGCCTCAGTTAACACAGCTCGGTCCAGTTACTCCGAGAGGCTGCAGGAAAGCATACACTACTCACCATGTACGAGGGGAAGATCAGAACGCGTTTGTGTTTGCCACAAGGCCACTGCGGGTCGTCCAGGAGATTGGGGTCATAGTCTGTGAAGTCTCCAGGGTCGCTGCCTGAGGGGCACAGGGAAGTCTTCATGAGGGCCTGGACGCTTGGACCCAGAGTCAGAGGGGGGCGGGAGGAGCGCTCGGAGGGGGAACTGGGTACGGATCCTTCCATGGAGTTGACCTGCATTTCCGCTTGGCAGTGAAGTGCAGCTCCATCAACGATTTCCCCAAGTTCTTAAACTTTTTTTTCCATTTTAGAAAATGACTCAGCTCCTGGACCCAGGATATGGTCATTCGGGTCACAGAGCATCGCACCAAAGGGCCTTTTCAAAACTTGCTGATCAAAGGGCCGAGTTGCACCTTCTGAGCAGCATGATTTGGTGTGACTGCTGGTCACTGGGCGCCTCACCCATGTCTAAGAGACACACATCAGAGAAGGTGAACACCCTCGTGGGGGTGAACACCAGTGGAGATGAATGCCGGGCAGCAGGGACCACAGGAGAGCAGCCAGAACGCATGCAGGGACCACGTCTGATACCTGCATGGCCAGCTGGCGTTTCTCGGGAGTGCAGTAACATGAGTTTAGAAAGGGACCCACCAAAGGTTCACGCGTCTAGTCTCCCTTAAGGAGCAAAACAAGGAGAAGGAATTCTCATAGCTGAACCTGTATGGCAGGCACAATTATTTGGGGGTCAAGGGAAGCTAACTGATGACTGTAAAAATGCAAGAGAGAAGCAGGCCATCCTTGGCACCAGGAGCTGAGAGGCTGAGAAGATAGCTATCAGCCTGAGGTGGGCATCCAAGGCATTTCTCCTTGCAGGCCTGTTGGGCCCTGTCTACAGAGGCCCCTAATTGGGAGGGGGGGGGCGCACGCGCGCCTGTGCCTTCTCTGAACTTGGGCTTTCCCAAAGTCACGGCACCTGCAGGGGGAGCATGTGTTCTGTGGGCACCTGACCTCCAGCCCTCCCCACTGCACAATGACCATGGCTCCCAGGCCCAGCCGACCCCTCACCAGTGTCAAGGCTCCCCTGGGTGCTGCTCGCCCGCCCAATGGAGAGGCTGCGGTGGCTCAGGTTCCGGAACTGGGAGAAGGAGGAGGTGGAGTCGATGGTGTTTCTCCGGGCCCCAAAGGCATTGGTGGGTAACAAGAACTGGGTGTAGGAAACTGTCTGGAAAGAGAAGACAAAGATGGGCAACGATCATTCCAGGCCGTGCAGGCCCATGCTGTGAATGCCCGCAGCTCCCATCTACTGTCCCAAAGCCAGGTAGACCCGGAAAATGGCATTTAAATAGTCATTCATATGTGTGAGGCTTGTGCCCAAGCCTAACCTGAACTGGCATGAGGTGGTGGATAGTTTCAATTGCTCCCACTTAGTGCAATTCAGTTCATCTCAGACTCTGTGAAGATGCTGTGCAGGACAGGAAACACACACTGTATTGCTTTTGATAATATCCTCAGCATGGAATTCCAAAATACACCCAGGCCAGGGATACTTCTGATAAAACAATGGGTCCCTACCACGTTCTGCATATGATGCTCCACTCTACTCCCCCTCATGCCAGAGTGAACGTGCAACCTCCTCTGCTCAGGACAGGGAGGGTGGGGGGAAGGCAGGCGAAGGAGAGCCAATATCAGCGGGACTGAGAACTTGGGAACACCATGAGGCTCCAGGTGCTTGTGTGCACATTATGGGAGCTGTCTTGATTGTATTCTGTAATTAATCTGGATTATATAACCTTTTGACTTTCCCCCCTCCCCAGAAAAAATACAAGAAGGAGGGAGGGAGCTCTGGTGGCCTAGTGGCAGGAAGCTGCACTGCAATCCCAGAGGTACATGGTTCAAATCCACCAGCTGCTCTGTTGGAGAAGGAGGGGCAATCTCCTCCTGTACCAGCCAGATGTGATTTGATAGTAAACAAACAAGAAGAAAACAAAACCAACCAATCAACAAAAAACATTTAAAAAAGGAGGGGGGGGAAAAGTGAACTTTCCCTTTAGACATCAGCCCAGTAACCCATTGCAGTGAGGATAAATGCAAAGCCAAAAGACCTGCTGTTCAGGGGTCAGGCGTAAAGCCTGAGGGATTCTGAAAACTTTCTCATAGCAGGAGGTCTGCTTGCTGACCCATCATCCCTGAATGAAATGTTTAACTATCAGCTTCCCTCCCAGAGCATGGCACACCAAAACCACTGGGGGTGGGGGGTGTTGTATAGACAATGCTGGCGGACAGATGAGCATCTTCTGGAAGCGCTGACCAGCTGCTGCTCCCAGCTCAGAGGCAGTGTGTGCAAACTGGGGTGCGGCCAGCACAGCCCCAAGGGAAGCCTGGCCGTCTCTGTCCACCACCTGGCCTGGCAGGCCTTACCTTCCCATCAGCACCCAGCTCCACGCCCTCCAGACCGATGACCTCTTTCAGGCTCACGGCACCTGCTGATTGTCTCCCTCCATCCAACTTCAAATCCCTGGGGACAACAGGGCAAGAAAATGCGTCTGTCCATGATGATGCTTCCCACACAAGACCCTACAGTCACGCTGATGAAAACGAACAAGGGGGTCCTGGCAGCTGAGGGGTACCCCGTCCCTCCTTCGGGGCATCTCAGGGACTTGCTCAGTGGTGGTTTCACCTCATTTCTTCCAAAAGAAATCCACAGAGACAGAGAGGCTGACCCGAGCTGCCAGGGTCGCCCCTCCACCCAACATCCCAGTGGCCCTCTATGCTCCTGCAGCTGATTAGAAATAACGTGGGTCTCCAGGGCACTCATTCCTCCTTGTCACCTCCTTAGTCAGGCTGGAGAAGCGAATTCCTGTCCTGGGCAGCTCTGAAGTTTACATCTGGGGTTGAGATTCAATTCACCCAGAAGAGGACTAATGTCCTACAGAGGACAATCCACAGTAATCACTCCCAGCATTCAGACAGCACCTCACACTTCACAGTGAGTCACGTTCATGACTTCTTTAGGCTGCCCCCCGAAACAGTGTCACTGTTACTCCCTGATGTAAAGATGGAGAAAGTTGGTAAATGGATTTCCAATGGTCAGGGACAGGAAGGCAGAGACGGCTTCTGTAGTCAATGCTCTACAGCAGTCTGCAAGGTGCCTCCATGAAGCAAGGTATGCACGCTGTGCAGACACCTGTGTAACGGCTCAGATGCTCACAGATGGCCTTCCCCCACCCAGCAGCAGCTCACAAACTCCGCGGCAAATGGAAACCTCCTGGACCTCTCTGACAAGCTACTTGCTTCTGGGCTCCCACTCTCAATGTTCTCATTAGGAAAATGGGTGTGACCTGGACACTGGGGGTTTTAAAAGCCTCTGGGGTGAGGTTAAATGGCAGCCACATTTGGGCAGGAGTGCCCTTTGGCTACCTGGTCAGAACTGGAGGTCTGCACCAGGCTTCCTGCTGCAGAGCTGAGGAGGCACCCATCCAAGACCCTCTTCTATAACCTTGGGAAGAACAAACAAAATGCATAGACAAGACTTCACAGGAGAAGACTATCTCTCCCACAGAGAGGGTAGCAGACTTGAACTGTTGACTTTCTGCTGACTAACCTGCTACATCAGCCACTATCCTATCAGTGCTCCTGTGCCTTCATTCTTAGTGATCTCAAATCCAGTGGTGAGAGACCAGGCACAAGAGTCCTGCAGGCTACAAAAAGGCCACACAGGCCACCCCAGGGCCCCAGGAGTATGCAGACCCCCAAGACCACCCGAGGAGCTGGCCATTTCCTAAGTGAGGAATTCTGGCCAATTCTCAAAAGGCTTCCCACAGCAGGTATGTTTGGAGATGATGAATGTACTAGGTACCAACAAAGGGAAATGTCAACACAACAGAAACCTGAACAAAGCAACAAGGTGGAAACAGCCCTGGCAGTGAGGGGAAGGGGACGCTGGGAGAACACAAGCTGCACAGGGACAAAAAGGGCAGCTTCTGGGTCACGAAAAAACCTACTGCACAGGTTCACCGACTTCCCACTTTCCCAGAGCCAAACTCAGAAAGCATGCTCCTCAAATTCCCAACTCCCAAACAGCTTTCTCCTGGTTTCCATCTATGGGGAGTGAATGTTACTTAGGGTTGACAATGAGTACAAGAGCAGAAGCTGTCTTTAAGGGGCGAGACTGTCAAGAGAAACAAAGTGTATTCAAATAAGCAGTTCCGAGAGTGCTCCCAGCCAGAGCACTAAGGGCAGGCGAGAGCAGCATCCTGTCCTGCAAAGACAGGGGTAAATCTGCCCTGAGATGTGGTGCCTGGAGCCTCTGCTGTCTCCCTGGCACTGCGGGATCAAGGGGACTCAGAAGGAGGGTGCCTTTCCCCATTCGCCCCCTTTTATCTGTCTCAATCTACTCAGACGTGCTGCTTCTCTGGGGCGGCCCAGCCCTTTGCCAGCTGGCCTCTTGCTGCTGAATGAACACACAACAGTTAACAGGCCTCAACCAGCCCTGGCTCATCCCACACGCCCTCCTGGCCCTTCACCCGGGGGAAACAGAGCCATCAAAAAAAAAAAAGTACTTTATGTGCTCACTTAAAACCCAAGGCTCCTCCGCACGAGATAAACCCTGCTGAAAGCATCAGGGATTTTCGGACTTAGTGGGAGCTTTGGATTGTACAAAACAGCAGGAGGCGAAGCTCCACACCCCCAGATCAGTCTGTAGTCACCACACCCCACCCACTGGCTTTTCTCTTACATCTTTATAATTTCTAAGCAGCTAATTCCCAGCCGAGTGAGAAAATGAGCCAGAAGAACAGAGGGCCCACACCCTACTTACTGCCAGTGAGACACTACCCAACACGACTGCCCGTGACAGAAATGTTCTCCGTCTGCATGGTCCGATATGGCAGCCACTCACCTCACGTGTTCTTGAGTACTTTGAAGTGTGACTTCTTGATGGAAGAACAGAATTTTTATTTATCTATTAGTATGATGTCTTTATAGCCAGATGTGGCTAACGATTGTCAAATGGAATGGACTCTTTCTCCTGTTTCCTTGTCAAGATTTTGACTCCTATCAGTTCCCAACTTCCTACAGAAAGGTAATATATTACTTGACTTGGGTTTGGTGTACTAGATTTCCTGAAGAAAATCAGTGGCCCATTTTCTGGTTATTCAGTCCTCAGGGTTCCTTTCCTTTACAGAACGGGCCCAGCTTGCTGACGAGGCTATGCTGGTGTCCAGAGGAGGTCTGGAGGCAGAACCTTGTCTAGAGGTAGATAGATGTAATGCACACAGGGTGGGGAGGGAAATGCCTGTGGGATCCATGACCAAAGGGCTCCTGTGCCCACCAGGGCCTCTGGAACAGGGCTCTAAGTTTGATGAAACCCATCTTCCACACGTGGCACAGAAGCACAGATCTCCGGGGGTAAGGGATGTGGGGATAAGGCAATTCCAGGGAGGTTTCAGCAAAGTCAATAGTATAAAGATACAATGAACAGTGGAAGCAGCCAGAGGTACGGGTGGGAAATCCTAGTGCTCATTCTCGCAGCGCTGTCCAGCAGGGCTTGGCCACGGCAGGCCAGTTCAGCACCTTTGTGTGACTCGGGTTGGCAAGAGCGAGCTCCGGCGATGACTGAGTTTGAGCTTCCCTCAAGTTCCCTAGAGTTCAAATGCAGTAAATTTTTAAACAGAGAGATTTCTTGCACACCGAGCGAGTGGGTGCTCGCCTATCTGCCAAATTCACTCTTCAAATATGACACTGAAACAACATTACTGGAAACAGAATCACTGGAACACATATGACTATGTTTACACAGTGTGAAGAATGTACCCAAGGTCACAGAACTTGTATAAAAACTGTCGACTAGGATCCTAAAATGCTGAGTAAAACCTTCACTGAAAACACAGTATTAAAAAGAAAAACAACTCCAATAATACACACACACGGTAATAAATACCACAAGTATGCTAAAACATTTGCTTTGGATTTCTCCTCCCTCAGACTCAGAGAGAGGTTGTCATCAACTCCATGGCTGCCATTCTGTATGAAATAGGGAATGCTCGTACATGAACCAGCAGCTACCATTTCCAAGGAAACGGAAATAGGTCTTATTTAAGCTATTTCTAGTAATGTCCTTTTCTTTCTATAGCTGTTAAGTTGAATATATTAGACTCCTAGATTGTAGAAAACATGACTCTCACAGAGAGGCTGACAGATTACTCTAGGTTGAATTTTCTTAGCTAACTGCTCTGATGTCACGGAAACCTTATAATAATTACTATAAAACATTTTAAATTGTCATTAGTTGACAATTTTACCTATATAACTATCAATTTCACATGGTGCCAACTATTACCTGCTCAAGCCTTATAAGTGAGAGTCCAGAGAAAGAGCCCAACGGCCCAAGACGGTTTGCAATTTCAGGACTTGGAAGGTTGAGGGGGGAGTGTCCCTTCAGAAAGGGAGTCTGAATAGTATAGTTGGGTCACACAAAAAGAATCCTGGGAAAAAAGGGGGGAGAAAGCACAAAACTCCAGTGGGGGAAACATGAGTTAAAATCTCAGGGGAGTAGTGATAACATCTTGATGTTTTCTTTCTAAGATCATTGTTCCTATTAAAATAGAAATACGAAAATAGAAGTATCTGGCTCAAGCACTAGCTTTAACTTTCTGGTACTGGAGATAAAATCGGGTAACATGGAGAACAGCCGGCATTCATTAAAAGCAAACTTGGACAACCCATTTGAAGCTGGACTTTAACTCTTTTGAGAGAACTAGGAGGTTTTAATTTATTTACACCCTACTGCCTTCTAAAATGGGAACGAAGACAATTTTAACGTCATGTGGTTATGACTCAACATTGTATGAGTTGAGGTTGACATGCACAGTCCGCACTCAGAGATGAACGTGGTCAGTCAGGTTATCGGAGAACAGCTCGTTTTGGCAGATGTTTACACAGATGAAACAAGATAGATGAAAAAGGGTCTAATCCCTTTAATTCCTCTGTTCTGGGTATCTTCTCCACTAGTTATTGAGCTCTACAAACTCACTTCTCATTCTATTCAAGCCTCTTATCTTCTCCAGAGGCTGTAAGGCAACATTCACTTGGAAAACCTAGCACTTTTACTTATCTTTTTTTAAAAAAAACCCAAACAAACAAAACAAAGGCTGACTTTTGACATTAGTAGACAAGAGATGGTGAGTGGAGGGCAGGGACCTGGAAGGGCTCCCAGGACGGGATGAGTGGTGGAGTGACAGCTCAACAGCAGGTCTACCCTCAGGCAAAGGGCAGAAAGCCAGGCAGGATCTTTCCTCAGAGGATGGTCTCAAACATACTTTTCTTATTGTAGTAAAAATACTGAGAATATAGTATTCAATGTAGCTCTCCTTAAAGCCTGCACCCTCTTGGGAGGGAATCCTCTGAAATGGGGCACCAGTTGCAACTTCCTGGGCATCACCTACTCCATAATAGATGCTCAATCTAAAGTCTCTTAGTGCCCAAGGACAGTTGGCTAAACTGCTATCCATAGAACAG